TCTGAATCTTTGCTGAAGATTCGGAAAGCTTTGAATCAATTCAGACATTTAATTGGTCCCCTGATTCTATTTGGATTCAGACATTTGGCCACCAAATTGGGCCGAATCTCCTCTGAACCGAATCACTGCCCAAAGCTTTGCACAGCCCCACATATAAGTATGCCATTGGAGGCTCTAGGTTTCCTTGTACTCATGGAGAAGCTTTGTTCCTGGACTGGGGTAGGAGCAGGTTCCTTTGAGCATCCTAACCTGCTGACTTTGCGGTTGATGCTTGGTGAGCTTGCTCTGTTGGTTGTCCGCCCATCCCCGGTGAGCTTAAAGCCTGGTCGAGCACGTCAGCCATTCAGGCTGAGAAGAGCTTCTTCCTCAGTGGAGTGAGGTGGAGGCTGTCTCTTCCCAGCAGACCACTGCCTCTCTCTCCGAAGAGTGGACTGTGGTTGTAAAAGGGGAAGCCTTGATGGTGGTACCAGCACCGCAGTCTTCTGTTTACTGCCTCGATTGTCTCTCCCTCCTCAGCCCATGACCGGAAGGATCGAGGAAAAACCCACCTGCACTCCCAACTCCCTGAGCCCCGCTCCCAGAGCCCTGTAGCCACTCATGGGATTGCTAGAGCCGTGTCATTTGTGCCCACATGGATAAGGAGCATAGGATAGTGGTTGGAGAGCTGGATAAATTTTGAGATCCTCTCAGCCACATCCCAGATACGGGCTCCCAGGAGGCAGCAGACCTCCCAGACTAAGGGGTTGGGGCGACAGATCGCTCCCTCTGTCCCCCTTAGGAGGGAGTCACCCACAATGACTACTCTGCGTTTCACCTTAGAGATGATAGCTGGTCATGTTTCTTGGCCACTTGCAGTAGCTGGCAGCTCTGCAGGCTCTACTGGTGCTGCAAGAGGTTTGTACCTGTTGCAGAGATCCACGGGGGTGGTGATCCTGGTACAGTGAGCCTTGGGGCCAGAGATGATCTTTGTCCAGCCCCCTTGCTGGACAGTATGGGAGTGCCTCTTGGCCTCCCTGGTCCTGGCAGGGGACCTAGGTCGCTCATCTGTCCTGGGGTGAAGGGCCTGGCAGTAGGAATCAATCTCTGTTTGCCATCCCCGATGGCATGCAGCCTCTGCACCGTGGTGTGGAGCTCCACTATCTGGAGAAATATGGAGCAAACCTCACAAGGGGAGGTTGCAATGCTCTCAATGCCATGTGCCTGGAGTTGTGCCAGGTGGTCCCCACAGCCGAGAGCCAGGGGCTCATCTGAATGGAGACCGGAGCCGTGGTTTCTGTCTGGGTGGAGGCCTCGGAAGTACCAGAGGGGAGGGATCCAGCCGCAGGAGGAACCTCGGGGTGTGACCCATCCCACCCACAATTGCACCGGTAGTAGTTTGGCTACTAATGTGCTAACCGCTCTCTTGAGGCTCTCTGCCTAGGCTCCCCCTTGTGTTTTCTTCCACCACCATTCACCCCATGGCTTGTCCAGGCCCAGATCAGCAACTCATCATTCAAGTCCCTCCTTAAAGCTCTCTTTTGTGATACCTATAAAAGGCTTAACTGTGGCTCAACCATTTCTAAGACATCCTGCTAATTACTATTGTCTCTTTGTTTTCTTGTGACCCTAAACGTCTGTCCAGGTCCATTCTCTTCTGTCTTATGCTTGACTGATTGATGCCTGCTGTCAAGGAAGCACTTCAAGGCTTATGCTGGCCTCTCCCTGTTAGACTCCAGGCTGAACTTAAACACAAGGTGTTGTGGCAGAGCAGTTAAGATGCTCTGCTTCAGCCCCAGAAATGTGAATACCAGCACTGCTCCAGAACTGTGCCAAAAGCCACCTCCAGTTGACTTGGCTGTAAATATGTCTCTGGCCATTCAAGCTGAGGGGGGTCAAAGACAGCTGGACTTGATGCTGGCCACATCACTGCCCTCTATACAATTAGTTACAGAAACTGGTGTGCCTTAGTCATACTTGGTTCACAAGGATCCTCCGAGACATACTGAGGGGCAGATAATGCCATATCAGTTTTCTCTGGGCTTCATGTACCTTCTCCTGAAATTGGTGGCAATGGCAGAGAGAGTATGTACACTTATTCCTCCCATCACAGGACCCCAGAATTTGCCTATAGGTCCATTATGAGGCAGTGGCAGTAGTCTAGTGACACCATGTAGGAGCTTCTGCCATTTAGAGCACTGAGCATATTGCAGAGCTTATGATGTCCTCTTCTTCCAGGTGACCCTTTTCATCTACTCAGACTTGCTGCTTTTCACTAAGGAGGATGAGCCAGGGCGCTGCAACGTGCTGAGGAATCCTCTCTATCTGCAGAGTGTAAAGCTCCAGGAAGGTGAGTGTGTGTAGCAGGTCAAAACCTTTCTCCTGTGGTTCATGTGGGCAATGATTGGGTCGACCCAGCATGGCAGGGCAGTTAAGTGGGCTGTCTGGGCCAGCACCCGCTTTGTTCCTGGGCATGGCGAGAGTC